GCCGCCGCCGCCGCCGCCGAGTGCAGGCAGTGCAGAGGGTAGTGCGCGCCTGCCATGGCCGGGGAGCTCTGCTGCGAGTGCGGCTGTGGCGGCGGCGGCGGCGGCGGTGGCGGTGGTGGTTGTGGTTGCTGCTGCTGCTGTTGCTGCTGCTGCTGCTGTTGCTGTTGCTGCTGCTGCTGCTGCCCGAACTCCATGAAGGCGGATTTGGACGAGTCCTGGCCTTCCAAACCGTCAGCCATCGTAGTCATGGTCATCATCAAAACTTTGGGGGCTGGAGAAAGCCTTCTCCGGGTTTCCTCCACCCTCCCCCACTTGGATCGCGCCGCTCACCCCTCTGCAGCCACCTTAGCTCTTGGGATCCTTGCAGGAAAAAAAAAAAAATTAAAAGAGGGGGCGGAGGTGGTTCGCCCTCTCCCTCGCTCTTCTCTAATATATATATATTTTAATATAAAGAGATATAGTGAGCGGGGCCTTGTTAACTCAAAGGGAGGAGGAAGGGGGAGGGATGGAAGGGGGAGGGGGGAATCTGCTCTCCCCCCTTGTTTTCCCCCCTTAGATTTTTTGGGGGCTGGTGCAGTTTAAGGCAGAGATTTTAAGGTGGATTCTGCGAAAGTTGCGCGTCTGCTTTCAGACTTGATGCAGACGCCACGAGTCGAATGGTTTGTCTCCAAAGGGCAGCGCCTCCCCATTGGTCAGTCGCCCCCTGACGTCACAGGCGCACAGCTTCTACTGGTGTGTGCGCCGCTTGCGGAGTTCGCCTACCTTGGGTAACTCCAATCCCAGCCCGCAGCTGCAGCCCCGGGCCGCGCCGCCCGGCGCTCGGGGCCGCCGGGAAGGGAGGCGCCTCTGCCCGGCAGGCAGTGGACGCTTCCAGCCGCAGTTGGCGCCCCAAATCCCGGAGCTTCAGTTCCAGTATTGCAGCCCTGGAACCGCCTAGCCGGAGGCTGGTCTCAGTGCCCTTGCCCCCTTGCAGGTTGCCTGTGTTCAGAACAGTGCCCCTTGCGTTTAAAACCAGCCCCCCGCTTGACCTCCTCCTCTCCCCAGTCCCACTCCACTCCCACGGGAGTGCCCTGTCACGGTGGATTTTTCTTGACGTACTTTATTGAAATCACAGAGGGAAGAGGAACCCCCACATCTGGGCTCCACCCCATGGGGTCGGGGGGTGGGGGGTAAAGAAAAAGAAAAACCAGACCCTATTCTGGCGAGGTTCCTGTCGTTTCAGGCAGTATATCCTATATATCGAACAAAAAAAGGAGAGGAGATCTTTTTTTCAGAACGCAGCAGCCTGTTCTGAAAGTGAATCGTTGGAGGACTGACAGTAATGCATTTTTTCCTATTGAAAACAGAAGCTACTGTAATGCTTTCAAATATATGCAAATGATACATGCGGTTAGTGGTTTGGCAAATCTTGATTACAATATAAACTACCCAAGTAAAAGTGCCTTCGTCCTAAATTTGTCTCTCGATTACAATTCCAATTGATTTTATTTTATTGTCAACATTGTTAATGATAAAAATAGAGTCGTTTTACAGTTATTTTTACTTTCTGGAAGGAGGCAATTAGAGTTCTAATCAGGAATACACAAAAATCTCCCATGATTAACTGCACTACTTTGTTCAAATTGCTGCTATAAAATTCAGAACAATTTGCCTGTAATGATTATGGACTGGGTTTATTTTGGGAGGTGGAATAAAAGTGGATATAGCATAAATTATCCTCTAATTATACACCAGTGTCGCCTCAATTATCCTCTTATCAAAATGGTTGTCTAACTGCCGCATTTAGTTTCAATTCTCTCCTTTTTTCCTATAAAAAGAACTTCATACCTTGTTATTATTAATCCATTTATTATTTGCAAGGGGATTTATATCCGCACATCCAGGTGGTAGAACCACTTCTCTTTCAAAGATGGACTGGGGAAAGACGTTAAGTTCGGAGCAGCCCAGGGCTGCGGATCTAGTATTTCTCTCTCCGGTCTCCAGACCCACTCAGGTCCAGGCAGCCAAGCAGCGACAGCGGAGCCCTGGCAAGCAGCTCAGGCCCGGCCACCAGGTAGGAGAGTCGGACCCGGGACTGGACGCCGGGGAGGACTAACCCGGCTGCGCTGGGGGGTCGGATCCCGGGAATGTGGGAAGGCACCGGGAGCCCGCACTGCCAGCGGGGCGGCACTGGGTAGGCGAGACATGCAGACCCCCGCGGGCTCGGCGCCCGCTTACGGTCTACGGAGATACCTAATCCAAGAGCCTTTGGCCACACGGAGAGAAGTACAGCCTAACAACCCCGGGGTCGAGGTGTCTAGACGTTGCGGAGACGAGCCTGGGGCTCCCTTGCACCTTATTTCGCTTGGGCCCCGTAAGTTACGCGACCCAAAGAACCTTTTTCTTTACAGAAAAGGGTGGCTGCAGACCAAGCAGCTTCGTCTTTATTTGCATATTGCTCCAAGTTCCCGGCAGCGGCTTATGCTAATTGATTTTCCTAGTTCCCAGCCTCGGGTCTCCAGGCATCTCCAAGTCAGTTTGCCTTTTTCTTTCTTTCCTTTCTTAATTTTATCAGAAGATCTGAAACTTGCTGCCCGCAGGTTTTTTCTCCTGGGCTCCCAGGGCATCGCCGTTGGCTCTCCTCTCCGCCTCCTTTTACCAGCCGGCGGCGCTTAACTTATTGGGCCTGGGGGAGCGGGTTCAGTAACTGAATTTAGTTTTAAGTGATGTGCCGTGTTCCCCGCCTTTTAACAAGGGGTCCACCTGAACTCGAAAACCAGTCACCGATCCACGCGTTTGCAAATTGACAGCGAATTAAAACAACAACAACAACAAAAAGCTTCCAAGAAAATGAAAGGTGGGCTGTGTAAGAGAGAAACGTGTGTGGAAGGCTTGGGAGGGGCAGAAAGGGAAGTCAAGAAAAGAAGGTTCTGCCCGGCATGTCTCGGTGCACCCGGGCTACGCGCCGAGCCTCTTTGTAATGCCCTCAAAGCGAGCAGGTAGACGTGCCAGTTTTATTGCTTTATACCCTGCAGCTTGCTGTTAACACGGTGAAGGCGTTTTCCCCCGTGCATGTCTATCTTTATGTTCGCAGGTGTAATACATTGCTTGCTGGCTTCTCCCGTCGCTGGCAGCACCCCAAGCGGGGCGGGGCGGGTCGGGTCGTGGCGGGGCCGGGGCAAGGTCCCTGCACTGATCATTGGATCCAGGGCGTAGCAGCCTCTATTTGCAAAGGGATTTTTCTTGTTTGCTTAATGCCTAGGGGAACTGCGAGGGCTGGGACTGTCCAGGGTTGGAGCTGCAGCGCTCTCCTACCTCCCCCAGTAGGTAGTGGATTCGTGTCCGCACACTGTTTCAGTGGAGCAAGAGTGCAGCTGCACGGAGGTGGCGGTTGCTGCAGATAGTAAAGACCCTGCTGAGAACTACTGGGCTGCCCGGTAGGGGCTCAGAGAGAGAGCCAGTCAGGGGCAGGGGCGTGGAACTGTTGAGGGGTCCCTCCGCGCTTGATAGCGGTGTTTGTGCGCGCGCTTGCGGGATGGAATCCAAACTGCAAGCAATGAGCGTCCCTTTTTCCCACCAGCCCCGGGAATAGCAAGCCGAGGACCAGCCTGGCCCCACACAGCGCGCCCAGGTGGCACGCCGCAAGTGACTACCACGTGTGGTCTCCACCACCAGCCACGAGGAGTTCTGCGCGGAGAGGCCGCCAGCTGAAGGGGTTGCTCCCCACGGTCGTTTCTCTCCAATTGAACGCGGCAGCTCCGCTTCCCAGTTTTTCGCCCAGTGTCATGGGCGGTGGTAATGAGTTGAGGAGAGGCGGATGTAGTTATCCGTAGGTAGCCCTAGTCCAACCTGCACTTCCAGCCCTTCTGAGAAAGGAAAGAACTCCTGGGTTCTTCAGGGCCTCGCGGAGAAAGCGCACACCACACGGGCTGCGCCTCAGTGCCGGGTTCACCGCCAGCCCGGCCTTGGCTCCTACCCCTTTGTTCCGTCCACAGGGAAACCCGTGCCAGGCCTTGGGAGTGGAAGGAGGAGGGCAGGGGAGGCTTGTCAATCCTTTGTTATTCAAAATAGAAGTAAACCTGGCAATCTAGAGGAGTTGGAGGCCTAAGGCTCTTTTAGGGCCTGTGGTGGATGAGGGTCATATTCACCAAGAAGTTTAAGAAGCAAGATTTGAGGCCTAAGCTGCCTTTCGCTTTTTAAGGTGTTGAGGTGTTGGGCTTGCATTCTGGTTTTCAAAGTTATTTAGAGAGAAGGACTTGGCTATTGCCAACACAAGACCTTATGGGTCTGCAGGTCCCAGGCCACTGTGGGAGGAATGGGCTCTTTGGAGTTCAGACGTTCGCGCTCTTCCAGCTACGGGCGTGTGTTTTCATACATGTAAGTCTAGAAATGCGTTTGGTGTCGGAGGTGGGTTTGTAGCCACCTTGAGCTGTAGAAGTACCGTTCAATTCCGGCAGGGCCTGGCTGGGTTTGGTTGCTAAGTTGAGCTCAGTTGTCACGTTAATTCTAAAGAAATTAGACGTGGATAAATGGCCTTTGAATTGAAAGAAATAACTCAGTATCGATTTACACAACCACGCTAAGAACCCCGTTCTCAACACTAGACGTTGTTTGAAAAAAATTCCTGCTAGTTTTTCCTCATTCAGTGTAAAATTCTGTTTGTGTATGTGTGTAGGGAAAGGGTGCCTGATATCCTGGAAACCCAGACCACTATCCCCTATCACACACACGCCTGCGAAAGCTTGCGGACATACGGGAGCTGCCTCTTTCCTTTTTTTTAGCCCTAGACAGCAAGGGTACCTCCAGGAATATCCAAAGGTATCAGACAATGGGAGAAAGCACAGATCTTAGTGTCATTTTCTCCCATGATAAAATTGTAAAATTGTCCATTTCAATGCCTTCCCCTCTGAGGCTCCCCAGAGTCCAGCTAAAAACTGGGCCCTGTTAACTGTGAATCCAGAAAGAGATGCACTGAAGTCTGGGGATACATCTCTCTCCTCTTTCCAGTCCTGGGTCTCAAGAACAGGCAGCCAAGAAACCTCACCATGGCACTGGCCCCACTAGGGCTAGTGACACCCACAGGGAGCTTCATAGACTTTTTCTGGATTGTCCAATTTGGACTGTCCTATTTGGAGGACATTGACTAAGCATGTCCCAACCTAGAGAATCCTGCTTCAGGTGTTTTCAAGCCTGGAGTCCCGTGGAGTAATGGAAGGGAAGTCACCCAGGTCCTCAAACTCACCATTTGCCACCTCCTCAAGTTCATTCCCAGGCTGTG